CCCAACGTGGCAATTGCGTTAACTGAAAACCCAAGTTCGAAGTGTGTGTGTGTGTGTGTGTGTGTTTTTTTCCGGTTTCATTCCAACGCTAGTGACCACGGTTGGGCCCCAACGGGGGCCAAAAGAGATGTAGAAGAGAAGCACACAGACACACACACACACACGAGTTATGTGAATGTGAATATATATATATATATAATATATACATGTGCGTATATGTGTACATGTGTATATGCATATGCATGTAGAGAGAGAGAGAGTGAGAGTGCCCCTGCAGAATCTAAGCGTGCATTGTTTTGATTTCCGGAACTGCTTGACCTGGGGATGGTGGATCCCGGCAATTCATCCAAGGATGGAATCTACCTCCGGGAGCGTTTCCCAACAGTGCCTCTGGTGCTCTACTTCGGGCCGCCAGTGATGCTCGTGGTGGCTGAGGAGAGGGTGATGGAACGGTGGCAAGGCAGTTTAATTTCTTCACGGTGCTATGGCTGATGGGGGCCACAGACAACGCTTTCTGAGGCCTTCTGACTGTACCTGGTTGGGCTTCACAGGCCAAGTGAGCAGACAATGGCCACATTCTTAACGACCAAGCAAGGAAGTTTAAACTTGGCTGCGTGTGGAAAACCACTACCTAGTACTGTCCCGCAACCGAGAATTGCATCATAATTGCAAACTCCAAACGTGTTCAAAATTGCATTAGTTGAGGATTTGCATTCACTTCCTATCGGAGGGCCGACTCTCAAGGGTGCGGACAGTGACCCGGTGGGGCGAGACCGAAGCCAAGATGTTGAGTGGACCTGCGCAGGACCTGGCTTTAGGCCGTCACAAGCTGGTGGAGACCTTCTGGCACCACGTGCGGCGCTTGACGCGACAGGCAGTCACGGGCGAGGTCTTCATTGCGGCGGAGTCTCTGTTTCGGGCCGAGCAGTTCTTCTGGCAGACAGGGGCGGAGGCGGGCAGTGTTTAGACAGATTTCAGCGACCCAGATCACTGGGGGTGTAGAGCAGCTACTTAGTTGCTGAACTTATATATCTATTTTTTGTGAACTTATCTAACTTCGTATACTCTTTAGAATGATGTACATTTAGATATACGACGTTTAAACTTAATGTTATCCTATACTTAAAGCCTATTTAAGCTTGGTATATATATATATACTAAGATAGTATGCCTTCTGCTCAGCACGTTTCTTTTTTTGGGCCTCTCTCAACTCCAGCCGTCGCCGTCTGCAAGACATAGAGCCCATCGACACCCAGAGAACGTCACACACCCATCCCTAGGCTTCCTGGCCCACCTGATTTCATAGCATTTACCGAACCACCATGGTAAGGCCTAAGGGTCGTTTCCGGACGTCGCCCGGATCCCTGTCCGCCTCTTGCAGGTGCCTTTCCTCCGTCCCATGTCCACCTGGGTGAATTGCAGCTACGCCCCGCGTGGCGCCACGCGAGGGGAAGCAGAGGTGCTGGTGCACAACCGGGGGCGCCTCAAGTATGAGAGTGCTTTCCTTGAGTCTCTGCGGCTGATGCCAGGCGAGGGTTTTGGACAGAATGAGGGGCGCAAGGGTTAGAGAAGGAGAGGGCTGGCCAAATGCGGTCGTGTCTGAGGCAGGTGTGGACAGGTTTTGGCGGAGACGCTGAAGGTTGTGATGGGAGTTGCTGGGTGAGTGATGTGAGTGCGAGTGGGCATCTCGCCTACGTACGTGTATGCACCTAGAGATGCGCGCAAAACAAAAGGAACGTGGCACACCTACCTCGATTCTTCAAGCCTCGCTGAGGGCCCAAGTTCCCCTACCGCATTGTGCCGCAAGAGGGGCGTATCATCCCCTTCTCCGAGTTGGCGGGCTACCACGCGGCGGTCATTGTGCCATGGTCGCCTGAGCTTTGCATGCTGAGGCGCGAGGGATGTTTTTGTTGTTGTTCCCGAATGCGTAGCGAAGGGTTCTCGTTAACTCTTGGGGGTCTGGGGGTAGAGCCTTGTTCGCGACCCGTTGCTTCTATGTTCGCAACCGTCCGCAACCGTTCGCAACCGTCCGCAACCGTTCGCAACCGTCCGCAGTAGGACGCTAAGGCGCTGCCATTGGGGGAAGCTTTTGCAAGTGACTTTTCTTGGATGTGTCACGTGTCAGTTTGCGCCGCTATTCCATTGTGATTTGCATGAAAATGAGATGTGGCGCAAGAAACGTGATGCGTTTCGCTGCGCAGGCGCAGCGTTTTGTGAGATCTGCAGATTGCTGCGCAGTTCCATTTGGATTAGCGTTTGGATAGTCGTGTTTTTGGGGTGTTGGATGTGGCCGCGCCATTGGGATTTGCGTTGCAGGGTGTGGCATCGAAGCTCTGTTTTCGTGACAAGTCTCAGCTGAAATGCCGATTTTGGTGGATGGGAGTGTGCTCAGAACGGGTCGAAATCATTCCAAACGTGTGGTGTGGTGCAAATTTTGTTGAAGCTCACATGAGATGATATTGTCACTTTTCGTGGCAGGCGCAGTACTTTGTGTGGCTTTTGAGGTGTGGAAGTGCGATTTTCGTGGCAGGCGCAGGAAATCGTGAGGTTGCGAGGTGTGACGGAGGTGACATTTCGTGGCAGGCGCAGTACTTTGTGCGCGTTAGACGTGTGGATGCGGAAAGATTCGTGGCAGAGGTGAATGTCGCTGTCACATTGGGATTGGCGTGTGAGCGGGTATTGTTTGGAGGGGCTGGACTCGCGAAACTGCTTGGCAGGGCTGCGTGATGTGTGTGCTCCGATGGGTGTTTCCGCTTGACTTTTGGAGGAAGTCTCGTACGAAATCCTCGTTTTGCAGACTTTGACATGTGAGTTTTGGAGGAAGTCTCGTACGAAACGCTCGTTTTGGAGACTTGACACGTGACTTTTGGGGGAAGTCTCGTACGAAACGCTCGTTTTGGAGACTTGACGTGTGACTTTTGGAGGAAGTCTCGTACGAAGCGCTCGTTTTGGAGACTTGACGCGTGACATTTGGAGAAAGTCTCGAACGAAACGCTCGTCTTGTGCAGCCTCGAAGCGTGACTTTTGGAGGACGTCTCGTACGAAACGCTCGCAGGACTGCTTCCAGTGTGCCACAAGAGTGTCCCACAAGAGTGTCCTACAAGAGTGTCCCACAGCCACAAGAGTGTCCCACAAGAGTGGTCCTACAAGAGTGTCCCAGAAGAGTGTCCCACAAGAGTGTCCTATAAGAGTGTCCCACAAGAGTGTCCTACAAGAGTGTCCCATAAGAGTTTCCTACAAGAGTGTCCCACAAGAGTGTCCCACAAGAATGTCCCACAAGAGTGTCCTACAAGAGTGTCCCACAAGAGTGTCCCACAAGAGCGTCCCACAAGAGCGTCCCACAAGAGTGTCCTACAAGTGTGTCCTACAAGAGTGTCCCACAAGAGTGTCCCACAAGAGTGTCCTATAAGAGTGTCCCACAAGAGTGTCCTACAAGAGTATCCCACAAGAGTTTCCTACAAGAGTGTCCCACAAGAGTGTCCCACAAGAGTGTCCCACAAGAGTTTCTTACAAGAGTGTCACACCAGAGTGTCCCACAAGAGTGTCCCACAAAATTGTCCCACAAGAGTGTCCTACAAGAATGTCCTACAAGAGTGTCCCGCAAGAGTGCCCCACAAGAGTGTCCTGCAAGAGTGTCTCACAAGAGTGTCCCACAAGAATGTCCGACAAGAGTGTCGCGTAAGAGTGACCCACAAGAGTGTCCTATAAGAGTGTCCGACAAGAGTGTCCCATAAGAGTGACCCACAAGAGAGTCCTATGAGAGTGTCCCACAAGGAGTGTCCTACAAGAGTGTCGTGTAAGAGTGACCCACAAGAGTGTCCCAGAAGCGTGTCCTACAAGAGTGTCCTGCAAGAGAGTCCCACAAGAGTGTCCTGCAAGTGACCCACAAGAGTGTCCTACAAGAGTGTCCCACAAGAGTGTTCCACAAGAGTGTCCCAGAAGAGTGTCCTACAAGAGTGTCCCGCAAGAGTGTCTCACAAGAGTGTCCCTTAAGAGTGCCCTACAAGAGTATCCCACAAGAGTTTCCTGCAAGAGTGTCCCACAAGAGTGTCCTACAAGAGTGTCCCACAAGAGTGTTCCAGAAGACTGTCCTACAAGAGTGTCCCAGAAGAGTGTCCCAGAAGAGTGTCCTTCAAGAGTGTCCCACAAGAGTGTCCCACAAGATTGTCCCACAAACGTGTCCTACAAGAGTGTCCTATGAGAGTGTCCCACAAGAGTGACCCACAAGAGTGTCCCATAAGAGTGTCCCACAAGAGTGTCCTACAAGAGTG